GTTTTCGAGAAATCTAGCATGACAGGTTTTTTTTTCCAATATTCGTCACTCAGAATATATATTTGAAAATAATTTTAAATCACAGTCACGGACTCAAAATAAAAAATTGACACAAATATGTTAGGGTTAACTTGTTGTTAGTTAATGACTAACTTTTATATAATTCATTTTGAAGATAGTATGTGAAAAACACCAAATATTTACAGAATGACTCATAAGTAAGAAGTTGAGAAGGTAATATTTTTAGGAGACAATAGTTTTTTGATACAAAGCTTTTTTGTTTTCTATTTATGGGGAACCTCTGAAGCAAGAAAAAATCAATAATAAAATATAAAAATAAAGAGTGAAGATCATTTACAAGAATTATCTTAGATACAATCTGGAGGAGAAAAAATGCATTTGAAACAATTACTTTCTATATGAATATGAAGAAATAGAAAGCTAACTGGGGTTTTTCCAAAAACTAATATCGTCTAAAGAATATACAGTTTCCAATAAACAAATTTTCATTGGTTGGCATGATTGTTTTTAAAGTCTTCGTGAATAGTTTTTATTGGTGTACTAATTTTTTTCTTTTCCTCGAAAGTTCCCCTCTTTGTATGAAGATGGAGAGGGAGAAAAACCAAATGATTCTTTTCGAATAAATGAAAAAATAACCTCACTCACCAACATCAACGTTCTGGAGATCGAAAACGGCGAAATTGTTCGACTTATTATCCCCTCCTAGAGTTATAACGAATGGGGAATCGGGGCAAAGTTCCAAACAGTGGATGTTACCCAGTTTGAACTCCCTTTCGTGTACAAGCTTCGGCACGCTTCCTGATGCAAAATCCCAAGTCTTGACCATTTCATCGGGAGAAGCCGTCACCAAAAGACCCGGACACTGACGACTGATCGCCAGACCCGTTACTTCCTTAGAATGAGCGTTTACTGACCAAAGTTGACCTGAAATTGATTCATTAATGACTTGTTCTTGATTAACTCAACTATACTAGAGTGTTACCTTTTCTACAATCGAAGCTTTGGATAGAACCGTTGCTGGTACCAGCTAGAAACACGTAAGGCTCCAAAGGATTCCACATAAGCCTTTCTGCTTCTCCATCTAATTGCCAAATTTGATGAGGTTCTGGAGTTCGGCAGTCAAAGACTCTTGCAGTGCTATCGCAACCACCTATCACAAAAAATGTACTTTCAGGAAGAGCCACAATAGAATGGATATTGAAACTTTTGAGTTGAAATAAATTATTTGATTATATTTTACCCTTATATTCAAATCACTTGAGACAAAATTTTCCTGACTGCCTCAAATATGTATCCAATAAACCATCATGTCTACAACTACCCTGAGTTAGATGTACGAGGTTGGAATGAACATTTTTGAACCTAACACAGATACAAGACAGTTTTTAATTTTTTTTTATTTTTTAAACATGACTCAACCTCTGACGGAAGCACCAAACTCTTACGAAGGTTCGAAATAGATTAACAATTCAATCTAGCAGACCACTATTATAATCTTCATGCAGTCATTGTTCAGTGTGGTTTTGGCGTTGAATCTGGTCTTGGTCAAAGACGAAACGGACTCGTTTAAGTTTAACGATAGTCGTGTCAAGAAGTGTTCTGTTGTAATGTTGAAGATAGTACAATCCTAAGAGGCAACATCACAATCCTACCACAAATGGGCAAGAAATGGATACGAATAGGTTATTCTATTGAAAAAATGTCTTCAAAAGATGTGTCATCAAAGGATTACCAAGGTCTTACCTTCCAATGTGCGATTCTTAGCAGGATACATGCAAATATGAAACAGCACCAGGGAAAAATATTAGGTTCCTTCTGTTTTCACATTATAACAGATTTTTATGATAAATCAGCCAACAAAACCAAAAAGATATCAGTAAGATTCGACACTTACCTGCCAAAAGAGTTTGGGCTTCCATCCTGTGCCATTCGAGGCACTGCACCTTGTCCCCAAAAACGTTAATAGTGGTGCTGGGCACTTTCTGTTCCATGTCCCACAGGATTATGCTTTTGTCTACTGATCCACTTGCCATGACATGATCGTAGGTATGATTCCAGGCCAAAGAAAGGACAGCATCAGTGTGACCTATAAAAACAACAATCACAACCCATTCAGTTGTAGATAGATATAGATTTATTTTCTCTTTCTTGCCAATTTCCTTTGGATCAGGTAGATGTAAATTACATAAAATAGAAAGTATAAAACTGTAAATATCTTGAATATACAATCCATGGACAGAGATTATATACTTACGTTAATCCAGATAATGAAAAAAGTGAAGTTGTGGGAGTCATAAAACATAGTAAATACAAAATAAAAATATGGTGAACAACTAATTCATTAACATGCATTATATGGAAATAGTAAACTTATAGATATATGTTGTATTTTTTACCTATCCTCTTGCGGTTTTTCTTCTTGCTGCCTGCTTTTCCAAGAGTAAACGATGGTTCAATTACGTTCATCATATCCAAGTCCCACACTTCTATGATTGGAGACATCGTACCTACTGCACAATAATTGCCTGCCGGCATGTTTGGCTCATAGTTCAGCCACTCAAGGCATAAGGGAAAGGACGGCAAGACGATATCGTGATGGACATATAGAGAACATTCATCTTCATTGTATACTGCAAAAAAATGGAACTTTCACTCTATATACAAAATTGTAAAAAAAAATGGTTAATCCTTTGAGTTTGATAGTAGTTTAAAGATTTCTACAAAAGCAAATCACTTTTGATAATAAAATATATCTTGAAAAGTCAGAACGCAAGCAGTTCTTGCCAGGTCAGACCTACACATTTTTGTCTGCCGATCACAAGTCAGACGAATTGATTTTTGACAGAGTTCGTTGATATAAGAAAGCTTCATGTGCATGAAGATTACCAGTTATCCAACTAATTACTTTCATTTCAAAATACAATTGAAAACACTAACCGTACACTTCCAGAATACTGGAATCTCCTTCAACATGTCCCACTAGAATTAGATTATCTGTAGGCTTGATTAGATCATCTTCTTTCTCGGAATCATCTGACTCGGAGAAATTATCTTCTGCTCCGGTAGGTAAATCGGCTAAGGATGCGATCCCAAGTGCATTTGCAGTGCTAGCCTCGTCTAAGTTAAAAAATATGTTTCAATATAGTGTTAGAGCTTTGAATGCATTTTTTACAAACCATTTTCATCATAATTTTCAAAATTGAACTCGTCTGTTCCTGACGGTTCTCCTTCCATGACTTCGTCTTCATTATCAGCCACACTGAAAATGAAAGATTATACATGCTTATTTAAAAAGCAACTCTGATATCTGATAATCGTTTCAAAAATCAGAGCTGAAATTGTTATGCTTATGCTTACTTCAGTTTGTTTTTTGTATCATTTATTATCTGTATCAACTCATTTTTTGATAGCTGAACCTGCAAAATATAAAGGGATTGATTTTTTTTTCTGATACCAAAACGTGGTTATTTACCTTTGCTGGATTTGCATTTGCTACTCCTCGTTTCACCCAACGAACACAGGGTACAAAATTTATGTTACTTTGCGAATTTTCTTCCATGTTTTGACGAAACTTAAAAAAAATTCAAAACATGTAAACATTCAAAAGTGTAACCAGTTATGTTAAGAGGTTAAGTTCTTCTTCTTCGTCTACAGATAATATTCTGCCAATGGTCTTTGGGGATATTAGACTGGGACAGTATTCCCGAGTTTTGACATGTATAATTTCCTCTGTGATGTAGTTTTAATAATTCGAATGACAAACCCAAAAATATCAAAGAGTATTGACACCCACAGTCACAAATATTCGAATATTTATTCTAACAATAATTTTGGCAATGTATTTGATGTGATAGATCATGGGAATGATTTTTCCACGTCATTTCAGTTATTACATATTCAAAAAAAAGTAATTAAAGCACAGGTTTGAAAAAAAAACTCGCTTTGATTCCTGTTATAGAACTGAACTTTGGAATGTATCATGAATTTGAGACTAGTTTTGATGAAACCATGATGTCTGTCACAATGACAGATTAAAAATATCTGATATTTGCATATAACTAATAGTTGCAAGCAGAACAAGAAAATATCAATGAATAATGAGGGCAATATGAACTAAACACTCTTCAGGAAGCAATATCAATTTTGGTAATAGTTATTTTATTTTTTGAGTAGGTTCAAATTATTATCCTAATTAATTTAATCTATTATTGATCAATATCGGCAAATAACGAATTATATAACACAAGTATTCAGGAAAAAAAGCGCTTCGAAAATTGGTCAAACAGAAAGAACATTTTCTCAAAGAATTAAAGAATATAGAAGTAGTTTTGTGAATAGCAAACCATTTCCACATTTACAAACCACCGTTTAGCAGAAGGAGATGAGTTCAATCATGAATTCGACGTGTTACATTCAAAAGAGAAGAGTTTGATACTCAATCTTTTAAAATGTTTACTGAATGATCGATTAGAATTGAATAATTCCCTTTCACTTAATATTTTTTCAAATGTGGAAACTGGGACTTACGCTCAGGTAATTTAATTCATAACAAACTCAGGTGAAACTCAAACATTTGAAATATGAGTACTTCAAATTGTAAAGTAAGGTATACTAAGCATTAAATACGCAGAATAGAGTTGAAGACATGCCCGAAGAAGCCATCGTATGGCGAAACACTTGTTGCGTTTTCCTGAAACTGTTCAGTGAATAAGTTAGTCATATGGATTTCCATCAAGTATCGGCCAATTCCATCATATATAAAAGCTAAGGTCTGGTCAATAACAATTGGTGAACATACCAATGGACACCTTACCGAACTGGTGAAAATAAGAAAGAATCAGTATTCTGCATGTATAACGTTTGTGTTGGATATTTAACCATCAGATGTCGCATCACACGGATATTTGAATGGGCACATAACAGATGTTTAAATCATTTCTTTCCTCTGTGGAATGAATTCATAGAAGAAGAAAAGTTAGATCCGGCAACACCGAAAAAATAGATTCTTTCATTTCTCTACCAAAATGGTGAGTGTTGATAAGTTTACTTTTCGCATTTTTAAACACCAAATATCTTAACCATCTGTATTTTTATTAGTATTTGATAAAGTGAATATTCTAATGAAATAGTATCAATTTCTGGTTACGTTCGTATATTCTGAAATTTTTGTCGAAAATAATTTATTTTTTTCTAAGAGTTCCATAGAGGTTATGTTATAAAGGTATATCTTGTTTTCAGTCGACCCACAAAAAGAAGACAAGGAAACTAAGGGGACACGTAAGCCATGGACATGGACGTATTGGTAAGCTCAATCCTATTTTCCATATAGTTAATTAACGGAAAATATTTCCACATTCTGATAGTACTATTGTGTATGTTGAGTGTCTCATTTCAATAGGGATTTCCAACTAACCGAACAATTAATAAATTGAAATAGGAAAAATACAGGATATCGTAAAACTCTCCACTTGTTTCGAAAATGATATCTACTTTTCATTGTGTTGGTTTTTAATCAATATAGATCATTCACATGATGATTTGTCGACAGGGCGGTATGAAATTAAATTTATGATTACTTAGTTCGTTTACTGATTTCTTACATACAAAATCTACGTTTTGTAGGAGTACATATGCTCAATCCTCATTGCTTCTTTCAGGTAAGCACCGCAAGCATCCTGGAGGTCGTGGTAATGCTGGTGGTATGCATCACCACAGGATAAACTTTGACAAGTACCATCCTGGATACTTTGGAAAGGTGAGTGATAAAAATAATATGCACTCTCATCACGTTTAGAGGTTATTTTATGTAAAGGGGCTTGAGTTGTCTATGTCTGGGTTTCAAAGGTAAAAATAGAAAAGAGATGGAGTTGGCAGTAGAAACATGTTTTGAACTGATTGATATGTATATGAAAAGAGTTGTGGAAACCAAATCATCCACAAGACTTTACAACATTGACAAGCGAGATGATACCTTGTACTAAAAAGATAAACGAGAACCGCACCAACGTCCTGTTTAATTTTTTAGATCTTCAAATTCAAAACGGTCATTCACTGGGTTCTTCATTCTGTTGGTTTGGCAGAATTTCTGAATTTGTATATGAAGCTTATATCAACATTAATATTACTGGAGTTTTCCCCAACACCAAATCGTTCGTTTTAACACATCAACATGTGTTTTGATCACCAAGTGAACATCTTCAGGAGGAAGATTAAACTGGAAACTTCCCTAAGCTAACACTATTCCACACCAAATCGTTATTTTTAACACCTCGATACGTGTTTCGATCACCAGGTGATAATCTTTAAGAGGAAGATTGAACTGGAATAGCGTTAACTTATGGAAGTTTCCAGTTTAATCTTGCTCTTGAAGATGTTCACTTGCTGATCGAAACACGTGTCGAGGTGTTGAAAATAACAATTTGATGTTGGGGAAAAAACTCCAGTAATATTCATTACTACCCCAAAGGTTCCAAACAGTGCATCATAATTACATCAACATAGTTGATAAAGTTAACAAGAGTTTCAAAACTTACTCAAGTTAATAAATGAATATGGGTAATGACGTATTAATTTATTCATTATCCAAACAAGCCATTACAGCTCAATTACACGGATGAAAAAATAAAAGTTCATATCCGTGGAATACTTATGAGTGTATAAAAATAGTAAAATGTACCAGAACTGTAGAGGGAAATACTGCTTAAATAGAAGAGTTTCAAATCATCAGCAAAAAGAAGATAGTCCGAATATTTCAGAGTTGATGGTAACTGATGAAAATTATGAACAGAAGTGGACCTAGATTTGATCCTTGTGGCACATGACCTAGCTGGAAATTTATCTGAAATTTTTCCATTATGTTTGACAATGAAAAATCTATTTTGAAGATGATTTTTCATTAGTTCTAAAGAGTTTCTTGAAATTCCATATTTACTAAGCTTTTCCATCAGAATATCGTGATGAACCTGATCAAAAGCTTTACGAAAATCAGTAAAAGCAACGTCTAATTTGAGTTTTATTATTCAAAACTTCGAAGGACTTGAGAGCCTGGTTTGGTTTTGTCCCGATTTATTGAAATTTCTGAGTTAATTTGCCAATCAATGTTTTTCAACAATTTTTTACAAATTTTCATNGTATACCTGCTATTTATAATCTACTATATACTAACCAATCTTTGTATTTTCTTGTTGATAATTCCTTGTTGATGTAATATTAAAAAAATCCATCCTCGTGAATATTTATTACCAACCTCCTTTGCTCGGAATCGCACGTTTAAAGGTGAGGCCTTGGTAATCATTAGCTCCAACAAGTTTGGACTTTTGGGGGTTGTCATTCCTATGGGGGCGACAGCTGTTTAACATAAAAACAGATTTTTTTTTCAAATAACATTGCCTAAGTTATCTTAGAAATTTTCAAATCTCTTGTATCTGATTATTATTAAAATTTTACAATATTTTGGTCCCGATCCTACTGCATGAAAATCAAACAAAAGCAACCTTTTTGTAATATATTTATATGGAGGGTAGAGGACTAGAGGACCCTCCATACTACTAAATATACATAGAAACCCTGGTGTCGAACCGATTCCCTTTTCTTTTGTCGACGCGAGAAATGGGATTAACCCAACTTTGTACACTTGTCGATAGATGGTGCAAGAATCGAAATCTCGCCCCTGATTTATTCAAATTTTCGAATTGACCATAAACAAAATCTTTCACCTTAAATTAATTTATTTCAAAATGTGAAAAACGAAAATTGAAGTGCCAACTTGACATTGTACAGCTGCGTTTCTTGAGTTGTACACAGCACCTACTGTGATTGAAATGCTGAAATTTATTGGATCCCTGTTTATTATTTTTTATCATGAGTGCTGTAGGTCGAGAGTTTTGACAAAATATTTTACATGGGGCAGGGGTCCAAGTGATCACACAAGGGATATTCTATGCACCTTGCGACTACTTTTATTCATTAGTTTCATACTACTTTAGTCTTTTAATAACCATATCTTGATAACAGCGCAACATTGTGTGAAATTATAATTCTTCCACTACTGATTTTCAGGCAACCAGTGGTACCTACATGCTGCCTATTTTCAAAGTGAACGGCATAAAGAGGTTTGTGATAAATAATCATAATTACGGAAGTTGTGCCGTTAGTTTTCCCTCTAACAACGAGATATACACAGGGAATTATTCTTTTGTGGTCACGTATCTTACAGCTTGAGGAAGCAGTACTTAATTTGATTGAAGAACAACCTACTACCAGTACTATAAAGATTGCTTTCCAGCTAAATGTTGATCATATGACGGTATTTCGAATTACTCTCAGGGACAAAACAAACTTGGCATAAGTGTTGCGTAAATAGAGGGCTTTCCTACATATGGCTTTCCTCAGAACTCTCGAACAACACCGGCAACCACACAATCCACACAATTGCGACCATTGTTAAGCTCCTTACATCGGGAAAGTTCCAGAATTGAAATTAATTCTCTAGCTGCGGGGGAATTCACCCACTTGGGAGTTTTCAGATTATAACTTTCTTTAAAAGTAAGTTGGGATCGCATCGAAGTCGTAGAAGTCGAGTTGTGATTTATTCAGTGTTCTGGGTGTTGTTTGGTTGGGTCTGGCAGGGGAACGAATGTTTCTATTTCCCACGACAATAAGTGGGATTTACTGTATTCAGATTATATTTTTTCCTAAGAGAATCTAGGAGAAATGCAGATATGTACCAATTAGCTAGCATTTTTATAGATTTCTATATAAATTTCATAGGACATAAAGTTTGTGGAAATTACAGCAGAGTAATCGATCAAGATATACTTTATTCAGAATCAGAATTGAAAAAGTTTGATGATATACAGTGTCATCCCTAAAGTATGCACCATATGGGAAACTTATTTATTAAGGGTTTTTTGACAAAAAGTTATTCCTGATAAAAGTTTGTGCATCCCCTAAAACTGAACATGCACCAACAAAATACAGTAAAACACACGTAATATACGAGGAGCCTTCAAATATTTGATTTTG